CAGGAGAAATAGGTCCCACTCAGCATTTCACAGGCATTTGCAGGCTCACAGGAGTGAACTTGTGATGTACACCACAATAAACTTCTGCAGGGTGAAACAGGAGAAACATTAATGGCAGCATCTGAGCTGAAGGAACTGCAGTGTTCTGCTTTCGTAAAAGAAGGAAGAGTGAAGGACCTGTACTCTTGCCTTTGCTTTGTTTTGCTTTGTGTTAGTAAAAATAAGTGTATAAGCCCTGTAGAGAAATGGGAGTTGTGAGAAAACACCCTGCATCCAACTGGCAATGGAAGTGGGCTGTTGCAGAAATGTAAAGCACTGGGGATGGTCTAAAAGAGATGTGATATTCCCTGTTCGAGGTGTCCATGATTCAGGTGCTTCTGTGCCTGGTGAACCAAAAACATAACTGTAAAAAAGGCAAAATAACTATGACATTGGACCAAAGTGTTCAGAAGTTAGTTGAACAAAACAGGACATGTTTGCATTCTGTAACAGTGAAATTATGCTTCGGGAAAGGCTGCTTCAGCCTCATGGAAGAGGTGAGCCTAAAGTGTGGGGTGGCTCTTTGGGTCCTTCCTGGAATGTAGGCTTCCAGAATCCTTTAGCCTTCTTCTCCGAAAGCAGTCATTCTCCACCTTGATAAAATGTCATGAAAGATAATCTGCATAAATATAATTGCTGCAGGCCTGGCTGGATTGAAGCATTTGCTATTATACTTTAGGACACCAAGAAATGGGTTGTGTGTGTTTTCCTTCAAGGCAGAATTTCTTACATTCTTGACAGCTTTTGGAAAAAAAGTTGTATGTGGAGTGCAGATCTTTGATAGGGAAGTGGAAGAGTGAAATAGATGTGAATTATAGCTTAGTTGTTCTGCTTTTTAAAGGTGAGCTCTTAAATTTCTAAAGTGGCCATCCAGATGCTAAAAGGCATAACTTCTACAATTTATTACAGCACATTCTCTCCTTTATGTCCAATAAAATAATATAGACGTTCTTGACAATACACCTCTGTCATAGCATGTAATATATACCTCAAATATATTTCTTCAAACCAGGATACCACACGGCTGTCTTTCCTTTAGTTTGTTTTACTGGTCTATGTGATGGGCAGAAGTTGGAATGAGTTTTAAAAACCTGATGGATAGTGACACCACATCAACAAAATGGTAGAAAAGAACATGTAATCCATGGTTTTGAGGTGTTTAACTGGACTGAGGTCTAAACTGGCTTCCTGTGGCTTGTGCTTGACCAGGAAAGTAGATTTATGCTGCAAATGAAGTTTTGTACCTTTTTTCCTTTACTGTTGGGGAAACTGCAGCTTTATATTGTGGAAAGACTGGAGAAACACAAGGAGGACAAATGCAGTTGAGTAAAAGTCATGTGCAGTTCTCTGCCCAGGTGAGAAGAGAAAGGTGAACTGACAAACCAGACCAAGGAGTGATTGCTCCTTCTGACACCACACTACCTCCAAAAACTGGGTTTTAAAGCCAGGAACAATGTTGCTTGTAGGAGTAATTCAAGCCACAGCTAATGGGCACAGGAAAGGAGCTTGGCTGGTTGTCCCAGACCTGTTTATTACTTTGTGCTGCTTACTCGTCACTGCAGAGCAGATGGCATCTGCATCAAGTACGGACTTCAGAAACAACATGTTTGCCACCCAGGCAGAGTTTTGCCAGCTGTCAATGTGTTTGCTGTACACATGGTGAAAACCGGTCCAAATTGTGAGAAGGGAGTGATTCCGTGTATAGAATCATAGAATAGTTAGGGCTGGAAAGGACCTTAAAATCATCCAGTTCCAACTCCCCTGCCATGGGCAGGGACACCTCACACTAAACCACGTCACACAAGGCTCTGTCAAACGCAGGCTTGAACAGAGCCAGGGATGGAGCATTCACAACCTCCCTGGGCAACCCATTCCAGTGCCTCACCACCCTAACAGGAAAGAATTTCCTTCTTATATCCAATCTAAACTTCCCCTGTTTAAGTTTTAACCCGTTACCCCTTGTCCTGTCACTCCAGTCCCTAATGAAGAGTCCCTCCCCAGCATCCTCATAGGCCCCCTTCAGATACTGGAAGGCTGTTACGGGGTCTCCACACAGCTTCTCTTCTCCAGGCTAAACAGCCCCAGCTTTCTCAGCCTCTCTTCATATGGGAGGTGCTCCAGCCCCTGATCATCCTTGTGGCCTCTGGACTAGTTCCAACAGTTCCATGTCCTTTTTATCAAACAAGGGATCTATCACTTGGTAAGAGTAATTTGCTTTCCTTTTAGTAGTTTGTATTTTTAATGACTTGTGATACTTCTGTATGCCCTTTCATTTCAGGGGGTTCAAATAAATTGGACTAAATTGCCTTCAAAGGGCTACAAGTATAATCAGTGGTTGGGCAGAGTGCTGCACTGGGCATGCAGGGATAGCACAGGGACTTCAGAAGTACCAATGTTCCAGCTCAGTCTGAACACATCAGTTTTAGCCACACAGGAACTTGGTGAGTAATTTCTTTACTTACCATAAGGGAAAGCAATGGAAGTTAAAGTATTGATGTTCAATTTCCTTATGTTTCAACATATATAAGTAAAAAAAGTATGTATACACTTAACATATTCAATAACCATACATTCTTATTGATACTTAATATGAACATATATAGCAAATATATAATATAGCCAGTACAGTACAGCATATAACATCTTTTCTTACAGTAAAATATTGGCTGTATTTGGTTCACTGCACTTTGGCTGTTAACTGTGTTTTAATTAAGTCTACTGAAAATGTTATTTGTTTCCTGTAACAGTTTGGCAGAGAAGTAGGACAAGTTCCACCTGTTAAGACATTTAATCTCTTTAGGGAAAAGGAAAAAAAAAAGCTTTATTATGCTTTCTAGTGGTGAACATAAAACATCTGAGAAGATCTAGTGTTGGGTTGAAAAATGGACAATTGCACTGTTCCTAAATAAAGGTACAGTGATCCTGCATGTATATGCTTAACTTTGCCTGAGACTGAGCTACATTGGGCTACTTGCATACTTAAAATCAAATGCATAGGCATTGTCTTCAGTGTTTTAAAACCTAACAAAAAAAAAGAGGGTAAAATGTCCTAAAAATTAACTGTTTTTTGCTCCATTTCCTCTCCCAACATCTCTTCCAAGTTTGAAGTGCCAGTTTGGCCGTAACTAGCAACTAGCTTGTGAAATAAATTCTCTTTTGGAGATTGCAAATGCAGCTTTTCATAACCCTCTGCTTGAATTCCTCCTTCAGCACAGTCATGTGTTTCTTCCCCTGTTCTACTGTTGCCTCTCATTTAGAAGTGCCTCAGCCTGATCAGATTTGAAAATACCTTTCCCAAAGCTCAAGACCTTGCTTGTATTTACTAGTGTGAGACCAGCTTTTACTCCTGGCCACAGGTACAGTCCCAAGTGCATGAGCTGGCCATGGGCTGAACTGGTGGCTCCCCTTTGGAGATAAATACCAGTAAGGACAATGGTTTTAACTGCTTATTAATAGAACTGGGTCATCAGAAATTACGGGAGCAACGAAAGGAACCAGCTTTCAGGGGGTTTGTGTGGAGAGCGTAGGGCTTACTTTTGTTGGCTGTAGTATCTTTGTTAGTACATGTCAGGTACTTGTATTTTGAGTACTTGTAAAATTAACAACCATTTTATGAGCCCTGTGGTAGATGAATGAATCATGGAATGCCACTGCTTTCTATTCAAGTGCCGAGGAGTCCAGGTGATAATGTACTTGGTGGAGAGTTTGATTGCTTCATTGAGTAGATAAGGAGCTGATAAAGGAAGTTATTCTGGACTCCACATGTCCTACTGGTGGCATAACTTGCCTAAATGCCTGGTTTCAGTGACATGCTTTGTGGTGAATGTGGCATGCTTCTGGCGTGTGTCTGGAATAAGGTAACTGTATGACAAGCACAAAGAGGGTATTTCCCAAATTGTGGGTGATTTTCCTGGTGTAAATATGCATAGCTCTGTCAAGAGGGCACAGTAAATGGCCCACATCTAAAAACCTTCCAGTGTAATGGGAATTTTTCCATTGCTTTTCCTGGCATTTGGTTTGGGGTCCTCATCCTTGGAATTTGGCTGAGAAGCCTCATCGAGGATATACAAAATCTGGGGTTACCAACTGTGTATTTCAATTTCTGCTTAAGAAAGTCAACATTCTGTGTAGTATAACATGTTTCTGGAGAAGGTTTAGTTAAGTAAAATTGTCTTTTTGTCCTGTTCACTCTGCTCCACCCTAGCCTGTGGATTTCTGCCACAGGATTTACTGCTTTTGTCTGGAAACACAGAGTTGGGTGGCTCTTTCTGTCCTTTTCCTGATGGATTGGCTTGGGAACAGCCCCACTTCTGGGTGGTGCAGGTTAGTGGTGAATTCAGACACCCTACACAATGACCTAGACCTTTGCTTTCTAAAACAATTCTACCTTGTCTTCAGTGGGATGTTCATGTAGAATATGGGTAGGAACATACTTGGAAGGCATTGAAGAAAGTGTTGGGTATGTTCATTTTTATTCTTGCAGACTTTGCAGAGATGCAGTGTCCAGTCAAATGATGTGTGATTGCTTCTGAAAGAACTGTGTGTTCTCACATTGTCTACAGATCCTTTTTCTATAGTAGGTCAGAGCACAAATGCCAGGGAAAAAGCGAATTATTGGTAAAATAGTGATTTTGCTGAGAAAAGTTCAACAAAAAGTAGCAAAACATCTCTCTCCTCTGTCTCCTCTGTCTTGAAAGATTGTTCATTGTTTTCATGGCTGGAGAGAATCGAGAGCCTGTGACTTTCTCCTAAGAAGACTAATAGATTTTCTTCTTTTAGTCTGGGTGTAGCATTTGATGCTTGAAAACACAATTAGGGTGCTTGCCTTCACTTCTCCTCTGCTTCTTACCTTTTGAGCCTGCCAGGAAGTCACTGGAAGTTATTTTGTATTCTGAAGGGAATCTTTCATTCTTTTCCATGTTACATGATGTCTTTATCATTTACATTCAGGGGAGTAACAGGGCTGTCTTAAGAGCACGAGGCCACGTTGCTTGGGAATCTCAGCTCTGCACCTTTGACACGTCTTTGGTTTGCAGGTAGTGATTTTTTTAAATCTATTTTTAAAGTATTCTTTTGCAGTAGTACAGAATAGCCCTCCCCATGAAACACAACTCTCTTGTGCTAGGCTTTGTAGCAACCTGAACTAAGAATAAATGTATTTTACTGCTTGTGGGGAGGGTTCTCTTCCAGTTATGTGATGCACTCTGACCAACTGCTGAAAGTAGCCTGGTATCAATGTAGATGTGCATAGACCCTTCCTAAATTATCATGTCCTCACTATTTCTGCAGCTGTTTGAGAGTTTTGGGGGTATACAGCATGATTGTTTGTGATCTACAGGTTTTTGTTCAGTTGTATTGATGAGGGTACGATGGTGTCTCACTGGGGAAAGATCCTGTGCCCTGACCAGTTCAACTGCATTAGCTTGCAAAAACAGTGAGTTCACCCTTCCTGAGCAAAAGGAGAGTTTCAGACCCAGCTCTAATCTTTGTACATTCATGAAGCACTTCCAAAACCATGGCAAGGAGCATCCAGATGGATGGGAGAAGGACTAGCATAGAACCTGGCTCACAGCCTTGGCTAGCTGCCTGGTGCAGACATACCCAAACTGTCCCTTGGTGGCTATTCTGACACTCTCCTGTGTCTTCACTGGATGCCAGGACAGCAATGCCTTCCTGTTCTCTCCCCCTGCAAAAATCCACACTGTCCTTTCTTGTCTTTCTCTTCCAGCTCTTTATTGCTTTAGTAATTTTGAAAGGATTCCCTGCTCAAGCTGGAAGAGGCAGTTTGTAATAACAGAGGCAAGAAACATGCATGAGATTTACTTGTTTGACCAGAGATTTGTCTCAGGAAGTCTTCAGAGCCCCAGTGTGAGTGCAGAGAACATTGCAGCCTTGTGGTTTAACTAAAAGCGTAGAGGTAAAAACCCAGCAGTAAAACCCCAGCAACCCCCTCTTCACCCTCACAGAAGGAAGTAAAAGCACCAGTCAGATCTGTCTAGTAACTGTCATTTAAGGCACCAGCATTTGGGTCATCACCCAGCCTCTTCACCCTGCAAGCCTCTGGCACTGGACTGTGCTGCCCTCACTCCCATACAGTGCAGTGGCCAACCATGGGACCTGATTTGCAACCTCTGAAGGCTGATTTGTCCTCTGCTTTCAGCTGGTTATCTGAGTGTGATTGAGTGTTTAGCAGATGAATCTGGATGTTGCATTGCAAAGGGAAGCAATTGCATTAGGTGCTCTGGGAGAGAGCTGAGGAGCATCTTATATGGCCTTTCCAGAACACTGCTCCAGAGCTGTTCCTGAGCTTATTAGCAGTGAGCCTCTTAATTCAAAGGAGATGCTCCAGAACCACTTGGGAGATAAGGGAAGATTAAATAGAAGAGCATAAGTGCTTGGAGATGAATCCTTAATACCCCTGATTGAAAGGAGGCTGGAATAAATGAGAGTTGCACCTAGGCAGCTTCATTGCAGTGCAGGGATAGCAGATCTCCTCCCTAGCTTCCTGCAGCTGGGCATCAGCTGGCTCCAGGCTAGAGGCAGGTTCAAGCCATTTTGTCATTAAGTGAAAATCTTTTTTGGAGGTCTGCACTTACAAAAAGTAGAGTTGTGTAAGTGACTGAGAGCAATATTGATTGAGGCTCTCAGGATCTGGTGGCAAAAGGATTGTTTAAAGGGTGGCAGGAGTTTTATAAACACACAAGTGGTGGTGAAGATGATGAATCGGAGGAATGCTCTGCTAAAGAATTGTCTTTGTTAAAAGAAGATGCTTTCTATAGAAAGGCATATCTCAGAGCACTAAAAAATAGCAGTGCAGTGTGAACAATAACCCTATAATGCTTCTGCTGCAAAGGACAAACCTTGCTGAAATACATGGGCTCCTACAGCTGGCAGGCAGAGTCATCCTGTCTGGGCTGGGCTCTCAGCGTGCCCCCAGATTTGTCCATAGGGATTTCACCTCTTGGAGACATGCTCCAAGGACAGCTGGATGCCAGCAGCTACTGTAATGGTGGGGGGGTTATAAGAGAACCAAGTGGATGGGTTTTCCCTCAGGAAGTCCTCATGGAAACAGACTGCTCTTGACTCACATGCTGCAGCTGCTCTAGGGTGTATGAGCAAGTGCTGGGTGTCCTGGCTGTCCTGGAATACAAAAGATAATCCGAGTATGATGGAAGTGTACAGAAATGGCTCTTTTAAGAGTCTCCCATAAGTAAAACCAAATACTGAACTGAAAGTGACCTCCTCTTTTAAAGGATATTTGCTATTTGTAGATGAGATCTGATTCTGAGCTCACCTGTTTTGCACTGCTGCAACTGAGGAGCACTCAGGTCTTGGACCAACAGACCACTGGTGGCAGTCTGGGGGAGCTTTGCTCACTTTTTACTTGTGATATCTGCAGCCTACCTGTTAGTTTTTCTGTGAAGAGATCTGATAAATGTTTCGGCATGGGCCTTTTCAGTAAAATGAGTTTGTGTTCGTCTCGGAAAGCCGATTTCTTTTGTGAAGCTTTCAGCAGGGAGGAGGAGCTGTAGCTCACCACTCTTAAGGGACTAATCTTGATGTATTTATTTCTCGTATCCTAGCTGGAGCTCAAGTGTTTCAGGGTAAGGAGCATATTCTGGTTTTTCTTCTTCTCAGGGGGATTTTGTCATTCCCTGTCATATACAAACACCCTGAAATATGCTTTCAGCCACCACTTTGGGGCCTGTTTCAATACTGCTTGTGCCTTTGCTGCAGTCAGCACCCTGTTCTCTTGCATTGCCTTCCCTTGTAGTCCTTGCTGAAGGGCCACTGATGGGAACATTAAGCAGCTAGTTGGCTTTGTACTGGTTTTCTTGCATTGTCGTACTTTAGGCCTGGCAGTAACTAGCATATTATTAACCATTGAATGTCAACGCTGCAGTGTACTCTGAGAAGGTGCTCACACATTTTCAAGACCAGTAAATGCATTAAGATAATATCAGTGGCCTAAACCCCCACAAGCCAGGGATTTTGGACTTCAGGATGAAGCTCAGCTTTTTAAGATGCATGTGTGTGTCTCACTAGCACAGACAACCCTCCGCAGGGAGTTCCCAGGGAAGTTTGTTTGGAGCTGCAGCAGATGGGCACAGCCACGTGCTGGGGATGGACTGTGGTGTATTGTTGTCTTTGATGTCTTTGACTGGTGGTGTTATTATGACTAATGTTACTGTCAAGGCGAAATGTAGGGATAGTGCAGAGAGATGAAGACACTGATCCGATTATAGTGACAGACTATGAAAATAAACCTTTCTCTAAGAGTAGAGTTTTGACAGTTGACTTTTTTAGTGCATTCTCAAAGCTCAGGGTATTATGCTCTTTATTTTCTCATTGCTCAAAGCAAAAGGTTACATGCATCAGGCACACACAGATGCAAAATTAAGTCCGTTAATAAAACAATAATTTTGAGCCAGATATATGCCTTTTCAAAATCTGTTGAGTTTCTGACACTTGGGTCTGACTGAGATGGAGTTAATTCTCCCCATAGCACCCCTCATAGTGCTGTGGTTCTTATTGGTAGCTAGAAAGGCGTTGATAACACACCAGTATTCTGGCTACTGCTGAGCAGTGCTCACAGCATCAGGGGTGTCTCTCCAACATTGCCCCTCAGCAGTTGGCTGGGGGTGAGCAAGATGCTGGGAGGGGACACAGCCAGGACAGCTTACCCAGACAGACAAAAGGGATATTCCTACCATATGATGTCTGCTCAGCAATAAAAGCAGAGAGAAAGGAGGGGGGAAAGGGCATTTTTTGTTACAACATTTGCCTTCCGGTGGAACTGCTATCCATACTGAAGCCCTGCATCCCGGGATGTGACTGGTTGTTACCTGTTGATGGGATGTAAAGAATAAATCTTTTGTTTTCCTTTGCTTCCACATATGGCCTTTGCTTCTGCTTTATTAAACTGCCTTTATCTTGAACCACAAGCTTCTGTCCATACTGTTTTCTCCTCCTCGCACCATCCCCTGTCCTGCTGGGGAGGGGATTGATAGAGCAGCTTGGTGGGCGCCTGGTGTCCAGCCAAGGTCAACCCAGCACAGCATATTTCACTTATAATGACAGCTTGTGCCAGAAACTGCATCACTGAGTGCCCCAGTGGGAACAATATGCTGGGCTGTCAGGATGGCAGATCAGGGAAGCTTTGGGACCTTGAAAAGACAGCTTCAACTGGACTGGGCTCTGCTCAGCTTTGTAAAGGCAGCTAAATGAGGAGCAGATACCAGAACCAGGAAGTAACAAAGCCTGATTGCTCATGGACTTGTAGAATCACAGAACCATAGAATAGTTAGGGTTGGAAAGGACCTTAAGATCATCCAGTTCCCACCCGCCTGCCATAGGCAGGGACACCTCACACTGAGCCATGACACCCAAAAATATGCCCCACAGCTGACTGTGGGCTTCAGCACAGCTGTGGATATGGTATGAGACTTGAAAGAAAGTCAGCTTGCAGTCACTAAGAAGGGAAAAATTCCTAATTACATATGCAGTCAGTTCTGCTGCTGAGATGGAATTGTCTTTTCTTTTTTGGGAACAAAAGACTCTTGGAGAATACTTTGGGGAAGAAAGGTCTTGACACTTTGGAGAGGCACAAAGAAAAATACCGTACAGTGATTTTTCTTCTTCTTCCCCCCTACTCCCCCTCAAACATTGACTCTGCAGTGCCTGGGCTCTAACTTCTGTCAGCAATTTCCATTCCCCTCCTATTCTTACAGGTGAATTTAACATGTGAGTTTTGTCATTGCCTGGGAAGCACAGGAGTTGTCTTGTTTTGCCCCAGCCTGGATTCCCTTCTGTTAACAGGTGCTGGGCAAAGAGCACTGGGATTTGAACATCTGTCCTCTGTGTTGTCCAGTTGAATAATGTGCATTGCAAGCAATGCTGCTTGCAGCTGGGCTGCCTCTTCCTAGCAAGCGAGTGGCCTAAAGGATGGGCTGGTTTCTGAACTTGGGTAAGAAGAAGGGCTGCAATCCTAATGGCTTTCCACCTGCTCTTCCTCCTCCTCCTCCTTCTGGTGTGTCCAGAAGCAGCCATGGCTGGCACTTCAGAGAAAGCTCTGTAGAACTTGGCTGTACACGCTCAGGTTTGCAGCTTGCCAGCATGAGAAGTGCCATCAGGCAGCGCAGCAGGTAGCTGGGTTTAATCCTTTTCTGTACTGTACCTCATACCGCCTAATGGGACTGCATAATTCCCAAAAGGCAAAAAAAACATTGAGATGGAGGTGTGTGTGAGACCTGAGGCCAGTGCACAGGTTCACCGCAGCCAGGCAAATATCACTGTATCCTGCTCTGCACCTCAGTCAGGGAATTCCTTGTATGACTTTTGGCTCCAAGCGCTGTGGAAGTGCTGCTAGCAGCCTCTCTGGATGGCAGTGAGCAGGCACCTCGAACCTCAGGCTGAGGCCAGTTGTTGAATACATTCATTGTTTATCTTCAGGGGAGAAGTGCTGTGCTGTGGGGCAGCAGCTTTGGTCCATGGTGTAACGCTGCTGTTGGATAAAATGACTTCTTGTTTCCACCGGCTGCTGACCTCTGCTGTCTTGTGGAGTTGATTTTCAGAGGTCAGTGAGGTTCTGTGGAGAAAGAAAAGTTGTCTCTTGGCTGGTCTGAATTCTCCATGTGTTGGTGTTCCTTGCTGGTGAACTTGGATGGAGTTTTGCTTTGCTTTGTAGACCAGCACCAGGCAGACATGGGTCTGCTGTGGTTGTTGATGGGATGCTGTTGGGTACAGGCTGGCTCCAGCTCTCCTGACAGTGCAAACACAGCCATCAACATGAACAGCCACAAAATATTTACTGAAGTGTCAGATACATTAAACTACATCTTGATTTATGAAGATTCTCTCTAGAGAG